CGTAACTGCACCATTCCCGCGTAAATGCACCACTGAACTCCGTGAACTATTATTAATATCCGGCGATAGCATAATTAGTACACACCTGATGAAGTGTAACCGTAAGCGTTCTGAACGAAAAATCAATTGCCTGCTCGGTGGATTTGTAATCGGTCGCAAAGAATGGACTTTCTTTGTTTGCCTAAAATATGGTAAAAATAAAAAAAAAACATCAGCTCAAATTAAGTCAACAAAGAAGAGGACTTGGCACTTTTCTGTGTAAGCAGTGTCTCAACAACATTGAGAGTTTTACGTCAAAAATCGCCGGAATAATAATGTATGGCGATAATTACAGATAAGTGTTGTAGAAATTTCAAAGACAAAAACAGTGAAAATTCATGGCAAGAAGACTGGAAGAGAATGGGGCCAGAAATCATCTATGTGTTAACAAATGCAGTTTGTCTGGCGATCACCATTATATCGAGAATACCAAGACCGCCGGACCAATCTATGTGGGGATCCCAGGTGAATGATGGTACTTTCACACGCCCGACTGCTTCCAGACAATACCTACCTCCTCTCCAGAGTACGTGCATCAACTTTTCGGAGGCTACTTTAGTACCATTCGCAAATACGCAACGCATACCGTTTCTCAGCAAGGCGAGAATCATATTCTGCTCATTGGATTTGCCCTTCTCGTGCAGTTACCTTGATACGGCGTATCCGTCACCGACGCGCTCTTGGTCTTCTCCAGTGGCTGAGCCAACAAGCACGCCACCGAGTTCTATCCTGAGCTCGCTTTACCCACACTACTCCATATAATCGAGTTAGCGGATCGAACCAGCGCAACGGTGGCTTCCCTACTGGCCTTTTTACATGTTGTGGGTATCAATCGATAACGCGTTTCTTCCATCTGTTATCAGTCATTCTCGCATAGTTACAATGATTTATTACATGCTGGTGATCACAATGGGTCTCACTGCTCACACGATTAGCAAAGACACTTCAAGTTATCCTTCGCTCCACCGCTCCCTCCGTTACAGTCATCGCTAGCTCTTTTACTTCCGC